GGGGTTCAGAAAACCTGTGGCTTTGGCCCTTGGGGCCCTGGTTTAGTGGCCATGGGAGTGCTGGGTTGACAGCAGGACTTGTTCATCTCAGAGGCCTGTGCCAACCTTACTGGCTCTGTGAACTGGGGTGGATGGCAGGGGTACTGGTGCCACAGGGGGGGTCTCCCTGTGCCCCCCCAAGCCTTCTGCCCCTCACCTGAGCAATGGCCTCGAAGAGGGGCAGGCTGAGCCACTTGAGGAGGGCGAAGGAGCGGGCGCAGCGCGTCACCTCCACGGGCCCCATGCTGCCCACCTGGGGGTGCAGGTCAGTGGCAATCTTCTGGAAGACCTGGGGCTGGTGGAAATTCAGCCTTCCTTAAAGGAGCAAAGAGAAAGTGGCAGCCACTTACAAGGAGCTGGTACAGGAGCCCTGCCTCGTGGCACCACCAGGCTCTGAGACTGGTATTGAGCCCCCCTCCTGAGTTGCCTCAGCCCCACCCTTGCTGGTCAGCAGGTCTCTGCTGTGTCCCTCCACACCCACCAGCTCTCAGTCCTGGTGCCAGCTCGTGGCTCAGGCCTCCCACTTAGTGCTGGGAGCACATCTGAGCCCCAGGCACCTCTCCAGCTACAGCCAGCAGAGCCCTGAACTCTTCAGGGTACCAAGAACCTCACAGCAGCTGAGGAACCATCAGCAGCACCAAGCCCTGGAGAGGCTCCACCAGTGTGGAGCAGCCAGGAGGGGACAGTCCCCAGGAGAGAGGTGCAGGCAGAACCTCAGACTGGCCCAAACCATCACCAAGTGGCAGCTCCAACACCAAAACAGCATCCTGGCCACCCCTGTCCCCACCACAGCTACCCCTGAGCCCTCAGACCACATCCAGCCCTTGTCCTTGTCCATCCTGGTAGGCTTTAAGGCCAAGGCACTGCTGGATTACCTGGTCCCACCTCTGTGTACAACCCAGGCCCATACAGAGCACCCAGCTGCCCTTCCTGAGCTGGAGCACCTACAGCCCTGCCTCAGGGGAAGGTGTCCAGCCTGGATTTGGAGGCTGTGACACAGAATGTCCACACCCTCCTTGAAAATTGTTCCAGATCCATCAGCTTTCTAGCAAATAAGGTGGAAATATCCATGGGAGAAGCACCAGCTCCCTTCAAAGCCAGGCTGCTGCTTGATTTTCAGAGGATGGCTAAGCCACGAAGACTATCCCAGCTCCTGTGGTTGGCAGAAGAGCTGCTCCCACCACCAGAATCTGGACAATGAAAGGTAAAAACATCTCCTTGCCTCTCTTTTTGTCTGTCTGGGCTTTATCCCTGTTTCTTATGGCTTCCCTGCTGCTCCTCAGGCCCTCCTCCCTGCTCCCCAGGGGCTTCCAGCAGCTCAGACCACGAAGAGGAACGCGGGGGGACCGCAGGACGCGGCGAGGAGCCAGGGCTGCCAAACCCCTGCTCCAAACTGTGGGGAGGGGGCTCTCCCACTCAGCAGCCCCCCAGGCACTCACCGTAGGCGAAGATGAGGTCGGTGAGGAGGCCGAGGGGCAGCTCGGGGTGCTTCTGGAGCAGGTGGTAGGAGAGGGCTCTGAGCAGGGGCACGCAGCGGCGGCTCTGGTGGGCCAGGGCCAGCGTCACCCTCCGGATGTCCTCGGGCTCAAACTGCTCAGCCAGCTCCAGGGCCTGCCAAGGAACATCCCAGGTGGGGAAGGGGCAGGGAGAGGGTGGAGAAAAACACCAGCTCCCCACCACCCTGCTCCCAGCTCTTCTGACAG